TATATATAGGAATCCTCTATGCTCCTAACCTCAGGCTTCTGGGAGTCTGCTGAGCTGAGGCTGAATGAATATTATAGGACCCTTGACAATCAGAACCAGAAGAGACTATAGCCATCCTCTTGTACAAGAGTTTTCAGTCAGCTGCCTGGAACCCTAGATCTGCCTCTCCCTTATCTTTTTCAGTTTTACATTCTGGAATTGTGGGAAAGATAGAATTCAACAAAAGGTTCAGTGCCTAACACTTTGAAAACCACTGATTTGCAGGCTGCGGGTATAGCTCAGATGTAGAGCACTTGCCTAGCATGAGTGAGGCCTTTGGTTTGATCGCCAGTACCACCAAAAATAACCTTTACAAAACAAAGCACTAATGTGATACAAAGGCCTAGAATCAACATAACCATAGAGGATGGTAACTTGCCCAAGATCACATAGCCTGCAAGAGACACAAGAAGCAAAATCTAGGTCCTTGACTCCAGAGCCAGAACATTGCCCCAGGTAGCCTTAGCCCTGATAGTCTTCAGGTTGTGTTCAGGCAGCATGTGGGCAGGTATAAGGTTTCATGATAAAGGACAGAGCCTTTTGGGGAGCAGAAGCAACAGTTGCTATAGACCCAGTAATGGAGTATGACCTAGTTCCACCTTGAAGCTGAGCTTCTTGGCCTCTCTGCTTGTAGATACTTGGGCCAGCTGGACGATGGAGAGTTTGAGAGTGCCCTGCAGGAGCTGCGCCTAACCAGAAGTATCTGGACCATTGATCTGGCCTACTTGATGCGCCACTTTGGTGTGAGGCACCGCTTCTGTACCCAGACCCTGGGCGTCGACAAGGGTTATAAAAACCAGGTAAGCCACCACACCTGGATGGGCCTTCTCATTTGAGGCCACATAGAGGCATAGGCCACCCAGTTGTAGTAGTTAGAAGAGAGAGCTGTCAAGGCCTGGACATCTGGTGGGACATAGGTGTGCAGAGACCAGGGGCAGTGGCAGATGGGCTATAGAAAGGATTTACCAGCCACATTGAGCATGTGACCATGAGGTCCAGCCTGCGTGGAGTACCTAATCACTGAGTCCTGGCTCCTGCCTACCTTCTATGACACTCAGAGGATGTGCAGAAGAGAATTTACCTTCCTTCATTCTTCCCTACTGTCCTCCAGCACAAGGCCAGCCCAGGGCCTCCAAGAACATCACTCTGATTTCATGTAACCCTCATTTGCCCATTTTATTCCTTCTCACCAGGGCAGCCAATTCTAAGCTGAGTAATTGGTATTCTTGAAGAAAAACGAATATTGTCTTTCCTTTTTTTCCTATTAAAAGTAATGCCAACATTGACAGCTGAGCCCACACGTCAGTGTATTCTGTTTCCCTGCAAAGCTAAAGCCTTTCTTACAAAAGTTTGTGGCCCAGACTCCAAAACATGGCAGAACGAAGTCAGTGCTGGCTAGTTAGCAAAAGGGCTGTGACATGGTGGCAGCTGCCAATCAACTTAACTTTCCTTTGAACCTTCTTGGTCAAAGGAAGAAGGCTAATGAATCTAGTCTGGTTGAGGCAGAGAAAGAGGCTTAAGAACAGGGTCTTTTTAGCCTCCTCCATGTGTGCTCTGGTTACCATAAGGTACTTGCACCAAACAAAGGCTGTTCCATGAACCATGCCTGGATAAGCTGAGCTATGGCTCAGCCTCAGACCCTACCTTACCCTTTTGCTTTGAGCTCTTGCTTATGCCTGCCATAGGGTGACCAGTCTTCCCCAGGGAGCTGGCCTGAGCCCAGCTGCCCACCCATCTTGATAATGCCTCTGGTCCTGTTTACTCCCTGGCCTGGGGCAGACTGGGTGTGCTGCATGTGCAGCCTGCCCCATAATGGAGCTTCTCTGCCCTCCCACATCCCCTCCTTCTATAACACGCTCTTTGCTTTAACCATATAGAGTGAGAGTAGCCAAGTGGACTGCCCTTCTCTCTTTAGTCCTTCTACAGGAAGCACTTTGATACAGAGGAAACCCGGGTGAACCAGCTGTTTGCAGAAGCTAAGGCCTGCAAGGTGCTCGTGGAAAAATGGTGAGTCCTTCTCACCCTACCATGGCCAGTTACCTCTGGTGAGGTTGGTAGTGAGGGAGATCTCAGGATAGTGTTTGGGAAAGGCTGGGGCTCTAGAGTTAGGCAAAACTAGTATCTCCTACCTGGGCAGTAATTTGCCCCTCTGTGCTTTTTTTTTTTTTCCATCCTTAAAATGGGGGTCAGTGGAGCTATATAACCTAGACTCTGGTCTGGAGTGGATCCTGAGCAGGTACTGGAGGGAAAAGTGAGTGATACAGGCTGTGATCAGCTCTTGGACTATTCATAGGATAATGGCATGAAACAAAACATAGAAGCCCTAAAAAAGGAAGGACAGCCTGAGTAATGTGGTGGCAGGGCGATTGACAGTGGACAGGGACAGGAGCAGGGAAGGCCACATGTATAGACTGTCTAGGAAGCTTGTTCCCATGCTGGGACCTTACATGGACATCTCCCTTCTCATCCATATGTGGGGGTGGGCTGGATTCAAGCAGATCCTGGGGGCAACTTGCCCAGATGTGGGTAGCATTCTCCAGACTTGCTTAGAGGCTACACTTAGACGTGCTATCTCTAGCCCCTGGCCAGACTTTCTCGGACCATTCTTCTCAGGTTTACTCTTTCTTTATAAAATTATGTTTTTATTATTAACATAATGTAACCACCTGATAATTTGGAAAATGGGAAGATAAATCTCTACTTATCCTCTGGCTACATGACTGCCTGATGGAAGTAAAAGCAGCAAACGTTTTTTAGGGCACTTGATAGGCACTCTTTTATTGAGTGGGGAAGCTGTTGCCGCCCCATTTCTCAGGAGGAAAATGAGGCTGGGACTGCCAGTGCATGGTTCCCCCAGCATTGTGGCTATGCTGTGATCTGAACCCAGCATTTCTACACTCATAATTCTACAGATCTGCAAGTTTTCGATCTAGCATGCTCCTGCTTTTCTCCCATAGCTGAAATTCCCCTCCTCTTGTACACACCAGTAGGAACTCTGCCAGCTATTTTGTTTCAGAGACTAAATGGAAAAATGGCATGTTTCACCGGCCAAGGCAGCAAACCAAACTGCCACGTGACTCAGCTGAGGCTAGAGTTGGGCCAGACCTCATGGTGCTGATGCTGCCACTCCTGAGGAGCTGATTAATGAAGGAGGGCCCCGAGTAGTGAGCAGCCCCTTCAGCAAATTTCGGGGAGCCCTTGGCTTAAGGGCCCCAAGCCCCTTCTGTCCCTTCTGGGTTTTTGTTTAGATTTGCTGTCTGCTGGAAGACACAGAACGGAGCCGCTTCTATGAGTCTGCCTATGGGACAGCTCCAGACATTCTGCTTACTGAGTTAACTTATAGCATTCCCCTATAAGTGCTTTCTGAGTGATTCCTTCTGCCACAGGAGCCTTGGAAAAAGGGGAAAATAGCCCTTTTAGAAAAACATTTGGTTTTGAATGTGGCCAAGCCAGGCTCTGCTCGGATTTGGGAAATTAAATTGGGCTAGTAATTTCCAATGTAAACCACATAGGATTTCTGGGAAAGTAGAAATAGGGACTTGGCAAAATATCTACCATACCAGGAGTGAGGTTCCATAAACTGTTTAGTGGCCCTCAGTTGTGCCCATCTGGAATTGACCTTCTGACTTCCCTTCCAGCTGGTCCTTGTGTTCTCTCAGAACTCTGCTAACAACATACACACACTGGTCCTGTGTAGGCCCTGCGCCTAACCTGGGCCAATATGATAAGCAAGGATGTTCCATGTACAAGAAATTCAGGGCAGAGGGAAGACAAGTCAGGTCTCCAAGTTCCGTAACACAGGATAACGGGGGATGTAAGCAGGGATCTATCCAGTTGAGATGGGGAATAGAGCCCATTGGTACCAGCTGACCCCCTTCTGCCCACAGCACAGTGAGTGTGCAGGACATCCAGGCGCATCTGGCGCAGGGCCATGTGGCCATCGTGCTCGTGAACTCAGGGGTGCTACACTGCGACCTGTGCTCTAGCCCCGTCAAGTACTGCTGCTTTGCACCCCGTGGCCATCGCTGCTTCTGCCGTACCCCTGACTACCAGGGCCACTTCATTGTTCTGCGTGGTTACAACAGGGCCACCGGCTGTATTTTCTACAACAACCCAGCCTATGCTGACCGTGAGTGCTGGGGTCAGGGTGGGCCAAGGTAGTATGCATTCACTGTCCCCTATGCTCCCACAACTTCCTCCTATCCAGCCTGGTATGACCACAATCTCCCTTGTTGCCTTTTCCCCAAGGCCTCTACTACTCCTGGGCTCTTGTCATCGGGGCTACCCCTTTTACCATGTAAGCAAATGAGCCACAAACTTGCACCAGTGCTGGCCTCTGGCCACCCTTCTTTTCCACTCCACTGCTCAGGTCCCTGCCTCAATAACTTATGTTGCACAGGCTGCAGTGTCCACTCAATCAGGACACTGCAGTACACTTCCAGGACAACCAGTACACTTATTAGAAAGTCTGTCCAACCTCACCCTTGCTCCATGCTACCTACTACCCTCAGGGTACAGGGACAGACTTTCCTGACCTGTCCATGTGTCCTGGAGCATGTTTTTTCCTTTCTCTGGGCTTTGCTTTCTCCATATCTATACTGAGGAAGGGTCAGAGAAAGAGTTCATGAGGGCCAGAATAGGTAAGGAAGGCTTCCTGGGGGGGACTTGAGCCAAGAGGTGTGGCCCAGCAGATGGGATATAGACCTCACCCAACTTCCCTGGGCACTGGTAGGTTGGTTGCTCTCTCCCCACCTACTGATCCCACTCTGCTCTCCCCACTCCCAGCAGGAATGTGCAGCACCAGTGTCAGTAACTTTGAGGAGGCCAGAACCAGCTATGGCACAGATGAGGACATCCTCTTTGTCTACCTGGACAGCTGACAGCAGGAGCCTGTTGTGCCCAGATCCTTGGACCCCAACCCCCAACTTCAGCCAGCCTAATCAGTATGCCCAAGTTGGGGGCTGCTGGGGCTGGAATGCAACACTGCAGCTTCAGCCTGTCTGACAAGGCTCTGTGGAACTCTGGGAACTGGCGTAGCTGCTTTGTCAGCTAGTGCTATATGTTGTCATTTACCCCAAGCATCTGCTGGCTCCTGAAGGCTTCTCCAGAGTTCTGAGGGGAGTCTCCCCCAGGATGACAAGCCTGACTCCAACAATGCCCATTGGAAGTCCAGCTTCAAGGATGCCCTTGTTGCCTTCTAGCCAGACCCAAGGTGAGGGGAGAGGCCTGAGGCAGTCTTCCCATAGACCTTAGGACTGAGTTTTGGAGAGAGAAGTCACTTGATCTGATGCTACTCATCAGGACAGCATCTGCATGTTTGGAAAGTGTAGCTGAATTCAAGTCCCTGGAGCTGGACTGGAAGTGCTACAGAGCCCCCTATAACCCGTGGTAGATGCCATTACTACCACCACCTGCCTTCCAGTGGACCCAAGTATCTGACTGGTTATGAGGCCACTGGCCCCTATCATGCAGTGTAGACACCTCATAGCCACTTGGCTCTGTAGGGAGGAAGGCCCTAGGGAGTGTGCTGAGCACCAGCAGAGAGTGTACCCCAGGAATAAACAGCTACCTGGATCCCAAAGAGCCCTCCTCACCCATGAGGCCTCCTGACACCAGCCTAAATCCCAAAAGGAGGGACCATTTGTCCTCTGGGTGTGGGCAACCCCAGGTCTGTCGGAGCTGGGTGGTAGAGCCTCTACTTGTGAAGCAACGGGCAGGGGACAGTCTGTAGTCTCCAACCCACACTGGTTTTCATGCCAGGACCTTTTGCACAGAATGTTGGATCTCTTCTGTTTTGACAGAGAATGGTGATGACTGCCCAGGATCACACAGCACAGCAAGTAGCATTGACTGGAGCTGATTTCTTCCTTCCTTATTTCCTTCTTTCCTCCCCTCACCCCTTTTTAAATTTTTGTTGTTGTTGGGAGCAGAGGTGTTTTTTTTTTTTTATTGAAATTTAAGTTTTTACTTTTGCTGGATGATTATCCTTTAAGTAAGAATAATAGTGAGATTGCAGGTACTTTGGAACCACTAACACCTCTTTTTTTCACAGGGCAGGTAAGCCAGCCAGATTTCTTTTTTAAAGTCTGAGCACCAGGCCCCTTGCCTTACTTGAGGAGGAAGTTGGCCCAGGACAGTAGTAGAGCTGGGTCTTGAACTCAAGAGCCCTTCATGGCTGCCTCTGGCAAAAAGACAGGGATACCCTGACAGCCCCACCATCCCTGCACTCCTAGGGCATGGTCTTCCAGTGCCCAAGGTGTGACGTGGTGGCAGCTGCTTCTCCCACACCGACTCTAGCTGGCCCCTCCCTCACCATGGTAGTTCTGAAGAGTCTGCTTACCAGTTCTGTGAGACCACCCAGCCACCTTGCTCCTTAACACCAGACAGCCTTGGGCCGAGAGGGTAGCACTGTTTGCAAGGCAGCCATCCTGGGTTTCAGAGACTGGTGTTGGCTTTAGTCTGGTCTCATTTCTATTGCCTTAATGCTGGGTGTCCCAAGGTCCTAGGGAACTCTGGCTCCAAGCTCAGGAGTACCATACACAGCAGCTGTGGGGTATGGGTGTCCTCAGGAGAGGTTTAGGTAAAATTGTGGTGAGAATAGCTGAATGAAGGAAACCGATGGGAAGAAGTTAAGTTTTCATGATGACTGCATATGAATGAGGTATAGCACACATGGTGGTGAGCTGTTATGGGGATTAGCCTTCACAGAAAGTGATCACAGCACCTCATCCATCCAGGACATGCTCAGTCTCTGGGCTCAGACAATGGCTTCTCAGGGTAAGTCACATGTTAGAGGTCACCTGTCTGTAAGATTAACAAGTTGTTTGTCCCTAAGACCAGTCTCTCTGAGGAAGGTCACAGAGGCAGGACATCAGCTACACTGTGTTGCATTCTTGCACAAGTCATGATATTGGGGCTGAGGAAAGAGCCTGGACATCAGGGACTTTGCCCACAGCACGTGGCACCCACAATTGCCCAGCCTGTTCTCATGCTTCAGCCCAATGCAGCTTCTGAAGCCAATGGAACAGTAGGCAGCTTTGTTCACTCTAGCTGCAGGGGGACAAAAGGGATCTTTTGCATTGCAGAGATTTTATACATAAATATATTTTGTTTGTAATGAGCCATTCTCAATAAACATTATTCTCACTGCACAGTGGTGACAGCCCTTGGCTGGCCTTTCTGAGAAGCTGTGTTAATCTGCAGAATTCCTGTCTCCAACCCTCCCTGTACCCTCCATTTTCAGCCTCCACTTATTGGCCAGATAGTGGGTTCTTCTAGGATTCATTTAATAATTTCATTTTAAAATTCCACTTCTGAAAAGGGAAGTGTTTGGTAAATCTGGCATCCTCAGAGCTGTCCTAGGTCCTTGAGGGGGCTGATGGAGCCATAGCCAGCTTTTTCAATATGCCCAGGTCTCCTACCTAATGCCTTTCCTGACTGCTATTTGTCCCTCTACCCCTCACATTGAAAAGATATATTAATAGACATCCTGACCAAGATCTTGGGCTCTTTGCTTCAAATCGAAGAGCAGCCCTGTACTCACACTTTCATTTGAGCTGACCATTTAAGGAAGCAGTATGAGCTTCTATGGGGTACTTAATTAGAATATGCCAGGCAGCATACCAGGTAGACAATGGTAGTGAGCTTGCTCTTTTCTACACTTGAGCATGAATCCTCAGCTCACTCTAGAGGAAGAGGCCCCATCCTGAATGGGCATTTGTTGGTTTATGGACTCTGAGTGGCCACCAAATTCAGTTAACAGAATGTGGGAGGTATTGGGGCAGGAATGGCAAAAGAAGACAGGATGGTACGGCCTGGGTGTAGTTGGCTGCACAGAGCATATGGGGTGTGGGGGTGGGCAGTGAGAACAAAAACCAAGGATTCCAATAAGAGGTTCCATTGGGAACTAATGGGCTGGTCCAGGGCAGAATCTGAGCCCAAGCTGTTAAACCAGGGGCCAGAACCCAGAGATGAGAGGACACACCACCCCACCTTGCTACTCTATTGTTCAGACTGGTTTTTGGTAGAGCGTGGCACCTCCTTGCCCAGTTGCTATGTGAACTTCCTATCTATACACTATCTTTTGAGGCTATCTCCCTCTTATACCCAGTACCCCTAGGAGGACACTGGGGACCAGTGGACAATGCCACCAGTGGACACTGGACATTCAGTGCCAGGGAGAGGGAAGCATGTCACAAAACAAGTAGGTTTCAACATTACACATACAATGAACAGTTTTAATAGAATCCATCACACACTGGTTGTAGAAGGTACTGTACAATTTTATTAGCTTTCCATTGCTGTATGACAAATTATCTCCCAAATTTAGCAGTTTAAAACAACAAACAGCCAGGTATGGTGAAGCAGGCCTTTGATCCCAGAGGCTCAGGAAGCTGAGGCAGGAGGAGTTCAAAGCCAGCCTCAGCAACTTGGTAAGGCCCTAAGCAACTCTACTAGACCTTGTCTTTAAATAAAATAAAAAGAAAGGGCTGGGAACATACCTCGATGGTTAAGTGCCCCTGGATTCAATCCCTGGGACAAAAAGGGAAAAAATTATCTCAATTTCCATGGGTCAGGAATCTGGGTACAGCTGAGGTGGCACCTCTGGCTCAGGGTTTCTTTTGATGTTTCAGTCAAACTGGTGGCTGGGAGTACAGTGCTCTCAAGGCTAGAGTGGGGCTGGAGCTCGCTCATAGGGATGCCAGCCATAGGCTTCCTGAGTGTCCTCATAGCATAGCAGCAGGTGACATGGGAAGGTGGGCCCAAGAATGCTGGAAGGATAGAAGCCATAGTCTGTAACCTAATCTTGGGAGATGACTTCCTCACTTCTGTAGAATTCTACTTATTATAAATGAATCATTGGTCCCTAGATTATCTCCAACATAACAGAGGTCATTGGCCTTGACTCTAAGCACCTGTGTGTCCTTGTCTTTTTATGAAATGAAATGACTCTGGCACAGAGTCAGTGGCTACCAGAGGGTTCCCAAGTGTCTTGTTGGATGGAGAGGCCAGAATTCAATTAGCTCTACCTTATCAGAAATCTTTTATATTCATAGGCTCACCCAGCAGAGTATCTGCTGAGATCCACAAGGTATTAAACAGAGAATACAGTTGAAAGAAAGAAAAAGAAATGAATCCAGCATGCACTGGAGATGACAAAGGGCACAAATACCAGGAGGCAAGAGTCATTGGATGTCATGGTCAATGGTTATTTCTACAGATTAAATTTCTTTTTTTTTTTTTTTAATATTTTTATCTTTTTTTTTAAGAGTGAGTGAGAGAGAGGGACAGAGAGAGAGAGAGAGAGAGAGAGAGAATTTTAACATTTATTTATTTTTTCTTAGTTCTCGGCGGACACAACATCTTTGTTGGTATGTGGTGCTGCTGAGGATCGAACCCGGGCCGCACGCATGCTAGGCGAGCGCGCTACCGCTTGAGCCACATCCCCAGCCCCGTACAGATTAAATTTCAGGAGAGAACTAAGTATGCCCCTACAAAGACTCTTGTCTAGCTCATCCTGGGGTATCTTCTTCATAGTGCCAATGGTGAGAAGTTATAAAACAGGGTGCCCTGATCAGACTAGCTTGACAACCACAGCAGGCTACAGTACCCTCTGGGAGATTTAGGATGTAAAAATGAGGCTCTACATTCATCATTGTTTGATGGGGGACCCCATTCATCATTATTTGGCCACAGAGTGTTTTGATGTAACACTGGTATTCCATGAAATATGTTGAAAGTTGGGAAGTCACTTGTCTAGTCCAAGGAGGAGACTGGGGCCCAGAGAGGGGCAGTGACTGGCTAAGGTCATGACTCAATTAGCTGGAGACAGAGCAAGACCCAAACCTGTCATTTGCTGTTTTCCCAATCCTCAGACCAGGCCATGATCAGAAGCAACAACCCTAGTGACCCTATAGGGGTGAGCCAATTCCAGAAAAGCCAGGAAATGAGCTCAGAGTTTGGAAGCCAGAGACTGGGCTATTTGGCTCTTGGGGACTTCTCCCAGGTAGAAAGAATGGCACTTGGATTGATGGTTGGAAGGAGGTAGAACCTTCAGCTGTCTTCCTGGTGATGCCTCTGACTTAGAGTTTCTTGTGATGTTTCTATCCAACCTGCCTCAGCCTTGGGATCCAAGGCTGAGGATCATGGACTTGTCCCTACCCTCCAGCTTCAGAACAGAATTGAGGAAACTAGGGAAATACTGAGATGTCATCCTGCTGAGCTGCTGGTCCCCAGGGGCCAAGTGATGGGACCAGCATGGAATTGAGTGTTCATGGAAAAACCTCAACGCCCGGAAATGCAAGTTGAAACTCCCACGGTCCCAGACCAAAGGACCCTCCGGTGGGTGGTTACTCCTCCCCTCCTCTCTGCCTCTTGACTTCCTCTGAATCTCCTTGGCTGCCTATATACTACTGTTCCAGGCTCTACCCCAAGAAATCTTTTGCCTTTTACAGCCCTAGGAGATCTGGTGAAGTGGCCTTCCCAAGCTGTTTAAAGCCTCTTAGTTTACCAGGGCTTGAGGTCTACATCTTTATCTTCGAAATATAAGGCCTCTTCTTAGTACCTTTCACCTGCCAAAGTCCTTTCATGCCTCAGGGCCTTTGCACCTATTGTGCCCCCATCACCACCACTTCCCTCAGAGCTCTCTCCCAATGTCACTTTCTAAAACAACACTCCCACCTTTCTGCCCTTCCTCTACCAGGTTGTGATGTCTACATGACTCCTCCATTGCTGGAGCCCTAGTACCTGACACCTAATAATTGCTTGATAAGTGTGAGTGAATGGATAGTATGCACTAGATCTTTAACAACACCTATTTCTCAGCTTTCCTGTATTTTTCAGAGATCATCATTAAAGGGGAGGATACATTTGAGCCTTCTTTGTCATGTAGAATCCAGCAGACATTCACTCCTACAAAGAATGGTGGAAGAGTAAACTGATGACAGCTTTTAAAACAGGATAACTTGGTTAATACAGTCAGTCTTCCATATCCGTGGGTTCTGCATCCACAGATTCAATGAACAGTGGATATAAAATATTTTTTAAAATTTCTCTATCCTAAGCAAATAGACTTTTCTTGTCATTATTCCCTTAACAAATAATATAGCAACTATTTACATAGCAGTTACCTTGTAGGAAGTATTATAAGTAGGACTTGAATCAATGAAAGAAAATGCTGGTCCTCGGGCTACCTTTTTTTTTTTTCCTTTTTCTTTTGGTACCAGGGATTGAGCTCAGGGGCACTTAACCATTGTTCCACATCCCCAGACCCCTTTTATGTTTTAGATTTATATAGGGCCTCATTAAGTTGCCGAGATTAGTGTCAAACTTGCAGTCCTCCTGCCTCAACATCTGGAGTCACTGGAATACTTTTATTGTCATAATAAACTGTCCTTTGTCTTTGACGTGTTGTATCTACCAACATCCATGAAACTATTGCAGGCAAATTTGCAAAAAACACCTCTGATGATGATTTGTGTGTGTGGTACTGGGGATTGAACCCAGGGCCTTGTGCATGCAAGGCAAGCACTCTACCACTTGAGCTTATCCCCAGCCCCTTTGATGATTCTTGACAGTATTGGCAACAAAGATGGGATACTGACTGAAACATGGCTTTGGGGGAGAACAGTGAGAGCCTTGCAGCCTGATGAAGAGGAAGTCCATGGGAATCAATTACAAACTTGTTGATCAACTTGTATGATACTTGGGCAATAAATGGTCCCTTATTTTATTGTCTGTTAATGAAAAAATTGTGAGGTGGAGTTTAGGCCCAGTCCCTGGAAGAGGATTCAAAGACAGCTGCCTGGGCTGGGGTTGTGGCTCAGCGGTAGAGCGCTTGCCTTGCACGCACAAGGCCCTGGGTTCGATCCTCAGTACCACATAAAAATAAATAAGTGAAATAAAGGTATTGTGTCCAACTATAACTAAAAAATAAATATTAAAAAAAAACAAAGCTGCCTGGATGGTGCCCTGGTTGAGGCTAATTCTCTTTGGGCATGGTGTATCTGGCACCAATCTGGTGGGCAACCTTATGTCTTTATATTGTTAACCACCAGTACTAAAATTTGCTTTGGGTGCAGATATTTCCAACCCCTTTGAGACAACAGTTACTGAGATATACACTTAAACTGAGCATGAATATGAGGAATTCATAACCACAATGGAAAGAAAGCAGGCAAATTGGAATGTTGGCTGATTTAATTTACTGATTTACCCAGGAGGTGAGTCATGTAATGCTTGTGAAGGAGGAATGTCTTAGCTGGGCTGTTTTTTGGCTTGGTCCTTCCTGCAATCTATTATGCCAACATTTTTTTAAGGTATTAAACCTAGGCCCTTGAGCACACTAAATATATGCTCTACCACTAAGCTATACCTCCAGCCTCTTATGACAACCTTAAATCCATTAGGAGACAATGGTAAAAGATCCCAGAGTTTTTGTTTTTACAGTGGATCCTAAAAGCTAAAAATGATCTTGAGCCCTCTCAGGGAGATTCCCCTAAGAATAACTCCTATGAAAGACCACAGATGTAGCATTGACTGGTATTTGGGCTCTTACTACCTTGGATTGGGTTTGCAATGCTCATAAAGGCAGCTCACTAGAGAATGAGAAGTGAACCAAAATAATTCTAGATAGAATCTTGTAGTCAACTTCATCACCCAGGAAAGTTTTCTAGTCCTCCTGTTAAAGCTAAGCAGAGCACAGTAGCATGCACCTGTAATCCCAGCTCCTCAGGAGACTGAGGCAGGAGAATCTCAAGTTTGGGCCAGCCTCCACAAGAACTTGTTTCAAAGAAAAACAAAACAAAAGGGCAGAAACAAGCATTATTATGATAACTGGGCAACAAATGGCTTGGATTAAGTTGGACTTAAAAGAAGTATCGTGGCTCATGTCTAAAGTAAGCCAAAGAAAATATACACTGTGGCCCCAGACAGAAAGCAAGGAGCTGTGGAGTCAAGGCCGAAACAGCGTAGGTAGTGATGACCTTGCCATTTGATCATAGGGCTGGGTAGGCAAAAAACTTCGGAGTTCATTCAGTTGAGGCATGAATTGCTGCTATACCCTTCAAAATGAAAGTAAGCATTCCCATCTTTAATGGCCCTTAGTTACTTTCTCCTTCCCTAATTCTGATCCTTTATTCCCTCTCTGTCCCAACCTCAGCTACTCCCGTCTTCAAGGTGGACCAAAGACCATATGTACCAGTCTGAAAATGTTGGGGAACTTTGGGGACAGGAGGGACTCAAACTTTTAACTGCTCTGTTGATTATGGGTGCCGAAGTCACCATCCTTATCTGGTGTTAAGGGACAAAAAGGTTTCCAAATGGAGGCTGGGCAAGTTCCATAGTAGGGTGAAGAAAGAAAAGTACCTAGGCCCTCTGGTCCAATTCCATGTATTGGGTTGCATCTACTTTTGAAAGTAGATGCAAAGTATGAAAGTATTGAAAGTATGGTAAGAATTGATGTTATTCTTTTGTCCCTTGAGTGAAGGAGTCTCCAAAATAGAAGATCTGTACACAAAGAAGTGTGAAATAAACTCCCCTGCAATTTGCCTGTAGTGGGCAAGTCGGGATTTAGGTGAGTACCTTTACCTTCTTTTTTTTTTTTTTTTTTAAAGAGAGAGTGAGAGAGGGGAGAGAGAGGGGAGAGAGAGAGAGAGAATTTTTTTAATATTTATTTTTTAGTTCTTGGCGGACACAACATCTTTGTTGGTATGTGGTGCTGAGGATCGAACCCCGGCCGCACGCATGCCAGGCGAGCGCGCTACCACTTGAGCCACATCCCCAGCCCCCCCTTTACCTTCTTGATGTCCAAAACTTTCACAACCTAGAGGATGTCCAATTGAGTGGCAAGTCAAGGCTCAGTCTTAGTGGTCCTGACTATAGCATTGACACCTCTCCACAGAGATGGCTGATAATTCCTGACAAAATTTAATTTCTTGGGACTGGGTGGGCAGATTTACAATATCTAATCCTTCCAGCAGTCAAGGAAAAATCTTCTGTCTCTTCTACCACAGCCAAAAAAAAGAAGGCCCAGCACCTTCTTGAATTCTTTGGGTATTGGGACTAGCACATACCTCAGATGGACATACTACTTGGTTCTTTATATCAGCTAATCTACAAATTGGCATCCTTTAAGCAGGACCCAGACCAACAGGCTGCATTGGAAGTTGTCTGGTTGACTGCAGCCCATTTGCTACTTTGGGGCCCCACAACTCTAAAGACCCTTCTAAAAAAGCTATTAAGCCTCTGTGACTGATAATTTTGCTAAATGAAACCCCTGGCAGAGGGAAGCAGACTACATCCATAAGAATCCCTGGGGATTTGGGGGTTAATGCATTAACTGACAGTGACCAAGTACATCCCTTTTGAAAGCCTTACTATCTGGGCTCTTGTTAAAATGGGACAATTTGGGGCAAGGGATATGACTCAGTGGTAAATGCTTGTCTGGCATGTGTGAGGCCCAGTACCATGTAAATAAATAGGACAACTGAGCTCAGAAAGCTTTGCTTATAAAATGGAAATGGGTCTATTCATGAACACAGCTAGCCTGGCCATGGTGTCATCTCAGACTTATATGAAAAAAACTGGCAATTAACCCTTTGGGGGAAACATACCCACAATTAAGCAGAGCAAAGTCATTGGCCCAGGGGACCTTGTAAATTACAGAGGTTTCCCAAGTACACAGATGGTTTAGCTAAGCTGAAGCCTGATGATGTCTTCTGGTTTTCTGTGGTTTTCCACTCTCAGATACAGCCCCAAAGTCTGGCTTACTTCATTCCTATGTTGGGTATGGACTGAAGGATAAAAAAAAAAAACATGGATGTGTGTTACTCTGCTCAGTAAGTAGGAACCATTCTCATAGCCTCAGACCAGTACTCCAATTGATAGGTCATATTATATTTGTTCTGATTCTTGGGCTATTGTCAATAGCCTAGTTGTTTGATCTGTCACTTAGAAAATCTCAATGGGCAGATTAAAGACACTCCTCTTTGGGGCCATGAATGGTGGAAATAAATGCAGTTATGACAACCTGTCTGGGTCACATACATAGATGCCTACCAGAAGAGCCTGTTTTCTGATGAGATTAATGCCAAGCCAATAATGAAAAAAACATGGTTTTGAGAAAAAAGAAAAATCAGTTTTATTGCTTTGCTAGCAAAGGAGAAACACAGGGGACTCCTGTCTCACAGGGTGTGATTCTCCCCTTTAGCAGGAACTGGGGGCTTTTAAAGAGATGATTCAAAAGCTACATTCCAGGTGTTCTCTGTTGGAGTTTTAATTCACTTTTTAATTTGAGAGATAGTCATTTCTGAGATCTTCTGGGACCATCCCCAAAGTCTGGCTTATTTCATTGTTATGTTCGGTATGTACTCAAGGACAGGTAAATCTGCCTAAAATGGAGATGAAAGATAATCCTGTTTCCCCTGAGATTAGGGAGGTAGAGAGATTAGGGACGAGCAGGGAGAGAAAAAGAGAAAGAAACATTTCTATTTTAAAAATAACTTTCAGTGGCAGAGCAGTAAGAGCTATATTCAAAGCATAAAGTGAACAACTGTTACAGTTGTACTGTTACAATCCCACCAATAGTGTAAAAGTGTTCCTTTTTCTCCATATCCTCTCTAGCAATTATTATTATTATTATTATTATTATTATTATTATTTGGTATTGGGGATTGAACTCAGGGACACTTAACCACTGAGCCACATCCCCAGCCCTTTTTATTTTGAAACAGGGTTGCTTAAAGCCTAAGTTGCTGCTGGTGTTGTGGCTCAGTGGTAGAGGCTCACGTGTGAGGCCCTCGGTTCGATCCTCAGCACCACATAAAAATAAATAAATAAAATGGAGGTAATGTGTCCATCTATAACTTTAAATAAATAAATAAATATTTTTTAAAAAGCCTAAGTTGCTGAGGCTGTCCCAGAACTTGCAATCCTCCCACCTCAGCCTCCCAAATCATTGGAATTATAGGCCTGTGCCATCATGCCTGGTTTATTATTGTTCGTGTTCCTAATGACCGTCATTCTGACTGGTGCAACACATGAACTTTTGAAGACACATTCAAACCATAACACAATGACTCTTTTGGGCATGTTGCTTACTTACTTTCCCAAACAGTGACTTTAGGCAAGCCTGGTTGGTACACACCTTCTAGTCGGCAGCCCTGCTTAAAGGGGGCTTCAGAGTTCAAATATGATTCTGATTCAGTCACTTGGATTCTCTTGTGGGACTGACATGATCTTAGATCATAAGGATAATGACCTCTTGGGTAAGCACTATGCTTACTGAGACCCCTTTCAGTGGCCCACATGAGAAAAACTGGGAAACATAATGGGTCTCTGTGCATTTTATAAAAAGTTCTTCCTCAAAAAAAAAAAAAGGTCTGGGTGCAAGAAAAGGAAAATTGGAAAAAGATGACATTTTGAGGACTGGAGTGGAGCACACCTATCTTGAAGGCAAAGCAGAAACTCTGACATCTAGGTAGAAAATACCTTATATCCCAGTAGGTAAGAATGGAGGGACATTAATGATTTTATCTTTCACAATTGTTCTTGAAACATTCTTTATGAACAAAAATAACCTGGCCTACCTCTCCCAAACTTTTGTTAGTACTTTAAATTTAACTGACTCCAACTTCTGCCTTCATTCCTCAGATGACTTTGACTAGTTTAGTCACCATTCCTTATTACCTTTGCCAAACGTTTATTATAAACAGCAGGGGATATCCCTGGCTTCTGTACTTCCCACAAAAAATACCTACAATGTATCAATACCAATGTTTCAGATGTTTTTCTTGCTGTCATTCCCACAGACCTCTCAGCCAATCTGTGGAAAAGACTAATGTCACTCAACTGATGGCATGAACAACCAGGATAGACTGGATTAATTACCCTCAGGCAGTCCTTCCAAATATAAGGTGCTACAGTTTGTCCCTGAAATGTCCCTGAAAGGTCCATGTGTTAAAGGGTTGGTCCCCAACCTGTAGCATTATTGGGAAGTAGCAGAACCTTTAAAAGGTGATGCATAGGGACTGGGGATGTAGAGCTACAAGTGGTAGAGCACTTGCTTTGCCTAGTGTGCACAGGCCCTGGGTTCAATTCCTAGCACGCGCGCGCGCGCGCACACACACACACACACACACACACACACACAAAGATCAAGCTTAGTGGTAGGAATTAGGTCACTGGAGATGTGCCCTTGAAGGGGATATTGGGAACCTACCCTTTCTCATCTTTGCTTCCTGGCTGTCATAGGCAAGAATTTCCTCTGCAGTGTGCTCCCCACCATGGTGTACTTGCCACAGGCCTAAAGGCAATGAAGCCAAGTAACCATGGACTGAAATCTCTGAAACTATGAGCCAAAATAAATAAAACTTTCCTCTTTATAAATTGATTATATCAGGTATTTTTTTCATTGACAGAAAGCTAACACAAGAGGATTAGACTTAATTATTCAAAGTAAACTGGAAACCCAAAGGTCTACCAACTGGCCAGGACCTTGGGGGACACTAAAACTACACAACACTTTCTTTCTCAGAGTGCCATATGTGCCCTTATGACTATATTTCTTATGTGAAAACTAGTTGGATCAACCTCTCCAAAAGGGTGTACTATATTTTCATGATGATCATAAGAGAATTTTGTGTTTTAGTAAACATCATGGAGCATAGATCGTGCAACCCACAGATAATAATGGAGATATTTCTAAAATGAGGCTACCCCTGGTTACTCACAGAACCTTTTTGAACTGATTACTGACTTGCTGTTAATATACACAATTTGAACAATTATTCCTATTATGTAACTCATCTGATTAAAAAGGCAATACAACTTTTGTCCCTGACTTTAGTTGATCTGATCAATGGTTCCACCAGGGCCCTGGAAGATATTCAGGTCAGCATCAAATGACTGGCCAGAATTTATTTATAAAAAATAGACTTTCTTATAAGGCCAGGACACAATGGAGACTATGCAATATCTAATATGGTTTCATGACTTGGGCCAGAGTGGAAAGGTCAGTATTTGAGAAAAACACCTAACTTTCTAGGGTAGACTTTAATAATTTATGGATTTGCTCAGCCTGTTGGAGGAGAGCTCTGGGGTCAGGAATGAGGTTAATATAAGTTGGGCTCATTCAGCTGCAAATGCCTCATCACACCACTGACTATAGCTAGTAAATGCTGATTGCAGCCAATCAGGTTGTTTCTTAGGAAAGTATATGATTTCATTTTCTCTGAATATAAAAATGATCTGGATATATTGTAGGGTGGGGAATTCTGAACCAATTTCAGTCAGAAGTGGTGACTGGTTCTAGAACTCTTTTTCTTGCTTAAGTAAATTCTGTTAAATTTATTGGTAACAATTTTTTCTTTTAACAATATAAAACATATAATTTACCATTATAACTCTTTTTTTATTTTTTGGTGTGGTACTAGGGATTGAACCCAGGGATGCTTAACACTGAGCCACATCCACAACTCTTTTAATGTTTTTTTTTTAATATATGTTTTTAGTTGTAGATAGACACAATATATTTATTTATTTATTTTTATGTGGTGCTGAGGATCGAACCCAATGCCTCATGCATGCAAGGCAAGTGCTCTACCACTGACCCACAACCTCAGCTCATTTTATTTTGGGACAGTGTCTCACTACGTTACTTACAGCCTTGCTAAATTGCTGAGCATGGCTTTGAACTTATGATTCTCCTGCCTGAGCCTCCTGAACCACTGGGATTTCAGGTGTGTGTGCCACCATGCCCAGACATTTTACTATTCTTCTTCTTCTTTTTCTTCTCCTCCTCCTCCTCCTCCTTCTTCAATATTTTTTTTAGTTGTAGATGGACACAATACCTTTATTTTATTTATTTATTTATTTTATGTGGTGCCGGGGATCGAACCCAGTGCCTCACGCATACTAGGTAAGTGCTCTACCACTGAGCCACAACCCTCCCCCACCATTGTACCATTCTTTTTTTTTTTTTTAATTCCTGATCAACTTTTTTTTTTTTTAAAAGAGAGAGAGAGAGAGAATTTTTTAATATTTATTTTTCAGTTTTTCGGCGGACACAACATCTTTGTTGGTATGTGGTGCTGAGGATCGAACCCGGGCCGCACGCGTGCCAGGTGAGCGCGCTATCGCTTGAGCCACATCCCCAGCCCCATTGTACCATTCTTTTTTTTTTTTAGAGAGAATTTCAACATTTTTTATTTTTTAGTTATTGGCGGACACAACATCTTTGTTTGTATGTGGTGCTGAGGATCCAACCGGGCCGCACGCATGCCAGGCGAGCGCGCTACCGCTTGAGCCACATCCCCAGCCCCCATTGTACGATTCTTAAGTGAGCAATTTAGTGATATTAAAGACATTCACAGGCTGGGGTTATGGCTCAGTGGCAGAGCACTTGCTTAGTACATATAAGGCACTGGGTTTGATCTTCAGCACCACATTTAAAAAAAAAAAAGTTACCAGGTCTATCTATCATTAAAAAAAAAAAAAAGACATTCACATTGTTGTGCAGCCATCACCACTATCATTTTAGAAGTTTTTCCATTCTAAATTGAAACTCTGGAGCCATCAAACAATTGTCCCCCTTTCTCCTTTCCCCCCAGCTCCTGGTAACTAACACTCTACTTTCTGTGTTTATAAATTCAACTATTCTAAATACCTCATGTAATTGGAATCATACAGTATTTGTCCTTTTTTATTAATTACTTTAATTGTACAAACTTATGGGGTATAGGGTGATAATTTGATACATATATACCATGTATAATGATCAAATCATGACAGTTAA